CTGCTCTGTAAGCAGGAGACAATAATATGAAGGTACAGCCTTGACTTAGGTAGAAAATGTCGCAGTATTGGAGTGTGTTAGCATCTTGCAACCTCAGTGAAGACTTGAAAAAAGGGACAATATTTAGTCCAAGCTGGTTCTTTTAAGAAGAAACAGGCCATAACCTTGCTACGTGAAGCCCTTTCTGTTAGCAGAACCAGGGACTGCCAGATTAGCTGGCCAAGGACATTAGTTCATTGCCAAAGACAGGAATTCCTGCCAGCCTTCTCTGGCTCTGTCTTCTCTGGCTGGATCTGTTGGGTCATTAAAAAAGTCATGACTTATTTTTCTATGCAAAAATGCATCATGACCAATGACCCAATGGCATGTTAAGGACCAGTTGTTCTGAGTACTTATTTGCTTTTGTCCAAAAAGAAGTGTACTGTAGTTATTTTCTTTTCTTTCTGTCATTAAGAATAATTGAATATGGTGTATCGAATATATTTCAATGTGTAATTTACTATACGTTGCTGGAATCTGAGAAGCTACACATGGGGCCTAATTCAGAGGAATATGCAATACTCAGAGTGGGTGGGCTCAGTGCTGGGTGAAGTAATAGGGTGAAACTTCTGGTTGTCTCTCCCATAAAGCACGTTGGCCCATAAGACGTACTCAGGAGGGAAGTTACCACCACCATCGTCTTCATTATTAATGCCACCACTTTCCTCTTCTCTACAGTAACACAGACACTGCAGTTAATCTCACTTCCATTTGGGCTTGCTTGATATGTATGACCTTAGCTTCCACAGAAGCATGATCATGTTTTCAGCTGAGATTCTACATTTGATCTTAGTTAAAAGGCTGAGACACGATTGGCTGACATTCTTAAAAAGCTAAGGCGGGACCAGCAGATGACATAATGGTTACGTCACTGGACTCTCATATAGTTGTCCATGGTTCAAATCCCAGACCCAGCAACTTAAAACTCACACCAGGCATGTGTGTATACATGCCCAAGATTCCAAGAGGAGAATGGAGAAGTGTTTGCAGCATGACCACTGCCCCTGGGGGGTGATTTCTCACTTTCTGTCTCTCTGTCTCTCCAGTGAGTGCATGCATCCTATAATAAAAATAAAAAGCTAAGGCAACAAGAAATCAGTACACCCTTAGCCAACAAGGTGCTGGGAGAATCTAATTCAGTAGGGATAAATTAGTCCCAACATTGATATTGATAGACTCAGACAATTCTAATCAAACTAGAGTGGGAACATGGGATTCAGAAAGGCAGATCAATACACAAGAAAACCCACTAAAACAAAAAACAAAAAACAAAAACCAAACCTGTGAAATGATTGGACTTTCCATCTTTGGCCTCCTTCCTTCCTCCTAAGGCGGATTAGTGCTGTAGTCCTCTCCTCTCCTCGCCCCCTGCCAGGTTCCCCCTCCGGCTTCCTCACTCCCACTTGTGTATCTCTTCCTCTGCACACACCTACCTTTCACTCTATGTGGGCTTGACAGGCTTTCCCTAGCTCTTAAAGTCTGTTTATCAACACATGTTACCAAGATAAATAGGTTTCAGATTTCATTAACTTTATAAATATCATCATTACATTGAACCGTCCTAGACTTGGGAGAAAGAAATAATAAAATTCCTTTTCCTTAGAATGCCAAATCCAAATACTTGCTACTCACTAAGCTCAACCTTATGCAACTTTCTGTATTTCACTGGTGGCAACATAACCGTCCTCTCTAAAATGATGACGATATCATTGGTTTTCTTTGGCTTATAGTATGTCATTGAAAGTCTTGTATCCATTTCTCCAGAAAGGTGAAAACATTTCATGTACTATTACGGATTTCTGAATTAGTATGAAAAACCAAAAGATCTGGAAACACTGAGTGTGCACGTCAGTGGTTCAGTGGCTACTGTGTCTGAGTCATGGCTTCCCTCTGTTTGTGGCGGGAGCCCTTCAGCACAGCATAATCCCCACCTAGACAGCGTCATGCTTTCATGGTGCCTACTGGACTCTTCTAGGCATTTCAGTTTTGGCCTTGTGGTTAGTGGAAATGCCCTGTAGTTTCTCTTTCTTTGTCACCCTTTTTCTGAAGCAGATCTTAGAACTGAGTTATATTCAGAGGTTGGTGAGAAGGGCATTAACTATATTGAAAGAGCTAAGGTCATTTTGTTTAGAAGGTTTACTCATTTATTTATTTAGTCATTTGTACTGACTGCTCTTTTCTCTTCATTATTGCCAATCACTCTTATTTTTTTAAACAGAATCATAAAAAGTTTAAACAGTACGAAAAGTATATGTAAAAGTAATGTCCTTCTAATTTCCGTCCCCTAATCCTCCTTCCCAGAAGTCACCTCTGTCACTTAGTTTATGAGCATTACTTCCCGACCTAGTTTGTGTGTGTGTATGGGTTAATATATATTCACTTTATGTTTTACGAAATGAGGGCAGACTATAGATTATCCTGCATCTTCCTTTTTTTTACTTGATATATCTTACACATTATTCCATATCAGTATATATTTCCCTCATTCCATGTAGAGCCTGCATAACACTTCATTGTATTGATGCACTATGATTTATGCTTATTGATGGGACTGTAGCTTGTTTCTAATCTTTTATGAACACAAACAGTGCTGCAGTGAACATTCTTGCACACATTTGGAAAGGGAAATTGGTGCCAGCATATCTGTTGGATATAACATTTATCTGTTGGATAAATTTTGTAGGCATAGCCATAGAACTCAGGAAAATTGCATTTATAATTAGAATTTTATTATGAAAAATACAAATCAGGGCTGCATACTGAATAAACCTGTAGATGAGGTCTTGGAGGGTGCTGAATGTGGAGCTTCTGTGACCTCTACCTGTTGGCATCAGGATGTGTTACCCTTCTGGCATATCAGTGTGCTCACTGACTAGGAAATTCATGGAACTTCGGGAGTGTCCAGAGTTTTTATTTGGGTTTCATGATTGATTGAATCATTGGCTATGGAATTGAACGCAATCTCAGCCCCCTCCCTTTTTTTTCCCCTGAAGTAGGGAGATTGAGCTGGTGTCAGGTGGCCCATAGACACATCCTGTAATCATATGATTGATCTTTCTGGCATGATCAGCCTCTATTTTAAAAGTATCTAGGTGCCCACCATGAATCACCTCATTAATATGAAGTCAGGTGAAGCTCATTATAAATAAAAAAGATGCTCTTGTCACTCAGGAAATTCCAAGAGTTTAAAGGCTGTGTCCCAGGAACTTGGGGTAATGGCCAACATCTATTATATAATAAACACTAGCCAGAACATTACTGAGTATTTAAAATATTTACAGATATTTCCAAATTGTCCTTCAAAGAGTTTAATACCAAATATGCATCCCCACCAGCAATGTATAAAAGTGTTTCTGGAAGGATAATTGTGACTACAGTGATCTGTATTACTAGATTAACCAGGGTGTGCCAGTTATTTCCATGAGACTGAGCACAAGGAAGTCTAGAAAGACACATTTACATCTTGCTGAGATCTTCAAATGAAATCCAACACTTGCAAACTTTTCTTAGGAATCTATGCTCCCATTACATAGACAAATAGTTGTTGATGACATTTACAGCTATTGATAGAAATTAGAGGAATTCATATGCTCCATACCGGGTTGAGCATTTGTTTTTTAGATTTTTGCCTTAGGGTGTGTGCATTCCCCAGGGAGAGAGAAAGACTGAGAGAGGGAAAGTGAGAAATCCCAGGGGGGTTGGTCACACCACAGTTCCTTCAGATAAACAAATGCTGAAGGAATTTGCCAAAACAAAACCAGCTTTTCAGGAAATACTTAAGGGACTACTATACTAAGAAAGCTAAAGGGAGACAAATAGAAGTAAGAGAACACAAAATGGCTAGAAAAAAAGGATAAGTCCACACATAATGATAATAATAGTGAATGTTGGGACTAAATACAAATTCAACTATTTTACACACAAGCAGGTTTAAATCCATAGTCACCATTTCTTTCATAGACAGTTGTCTCCACAGGTTTCAAATTATATGTTTATTATAACCATTGCTTATTGAAGAAAATAATATAACAGAGGAAAAGTCCAAAATGTTACAGCTGAGTCTTTCTTTGGAATGATTATAAAATCAAGAAGTTTCTAAAGCCTATAAATCCCCAAATCATTGGCCTTACCTAGTCTTTGCTTTTAAACATCTCTTTCCAATTTTGTCTTATCTTTGCTTTTACGAGGACCTCTTTTTAATTTTTTTTTAGAAGTTCAGTTACCTTGGAGTTGATTTAAACTAAGAGAAAAAGGTCAAGTTTTCATGCAATACATACTTGATTCTTTTATTTATTTATTTATTTTAGAGAGATTTTTTGCTATAGGGCTCGTGCACTTGCAAGAGATACAGAGAGAGATGGAGAGATAGAAAGTGAAAAATCACCTCCCCCGGGGGGATGGCCACACCACAATCCTTTCTTCTCTCAGGATTTTGGGCATGCATGCACAAGCACCCAGTGTGAGTTTTAAGCCACCAGGTCCAGGACTTGAACTGCGGTTGACTATGTGGTTGTCCAGTGGCGTAACCATTACACCATTTGCTGGTCTCCATACTTGGTTCTTTAAACAACAATTCTGACTAATTGAAGAAAGAATTATGGAATGCTACATTTGTGATCCATAAAAAAACACCAACAATTTGGGTCCTACATAATTAAAGAACTATCACAAACACCTTTTGAAATACCATAGGAGCCAATACATAGAGGCATGCCTTCCATGGACATAGGAAAGCAGTTTAGAAAAGAAAAAGAGAGAAAACCACACCACAACTACTCAATTTCTTTAAAATCACAGAGCAAGAGAAGCAACATGGAACTTGCATATTGATTTTACACAACTTCTATACAGTACCTTGACTTAAATACAGTGCTCTCATATTTAAGGTAAAACAACTGCATAGTGAACTTAGATGACTTCTGCTGGATTTTTACCTGGAAGCAGCCTTTTTAATTTTTCATTTAAAAAGGCAGGTTTGGCACTTTCATACTGATGTCACCAATGTTTCTATTTCTTGGACTCTCAGGAAGATTCATATTCTTTACAGCTGATACAGCATGGGCTGGAGCTCCTGCAAAGCCAGCCTCATAGATTTCTATTTCTCATTTATTTTGTGCATCAGTTTGTGTAACACTCTCATTCAGATTGCTCTCTAATACCATCCCCCCATCACCATTTCTGCAAGAATATTGTGAGCCTTGTCTACATGGAAAATTAAATCCAGTACAGAAACATTTTCAAAATACTTGTCTAACATTTCCATACATACTTGAATGAGATCTAAAATGCCGAGGTTGCTTTCTGATGAATGCATACAGAAGACAAAATATAGCATTGCATCATGTCTATAAATTAATTTGTTGTTAGATCCTCCAATGAAGAATCCTCTTTCTAGGACATTACAAACATTTTCATACCTCTTAGATACTAGATGGAAAGTCTCCCTGATGATTTGCTGTTGTGTATCTTTACTGTATGGCTGGTAAAACTTGGAGAGCTGTGGCTTGTTGTGGTTGTTGAAGATGAGGATCGCTTTATCATGGCTGGGCCAGGCAACCGAGTGGGCACTGGGGGCCGGGCAGGGTGGGTGTGCGAGGCTTGCTTTGGGATCTCACCAGTGATACCGACCTGCGGAGGGCTTCTTTCTTTATGTACAGTATACCATGGTCTTACAAGAACTCACAATGTGTGAGTAAAAGTATTCTTTTTATGCCTCTTCTGAATGAGCTGCTGTTGTGTACAGTCTTACCTATTTCTAACTGGACCAATGATTGATACCCACAGATTTTTTTTCAGCTTACAAACTCTAATTTCCCATAGTCCGCCATATGGAAATTATAGATTCTTCTTTGATTGGCTATGTTAAGATTATCTTTGTTAATTTATAAGATTGTTGTTTGATTTCTAATCAATGTTTTTCTTTAGAACTGTCTCATAGTAAAGGATATCATAGACAATTCAGCACACATTTGGAATAACCATTGGAGTGGGTTTCGAATGTTCACACATGATATGTTAAATGTTGAAGGTGATGGATATGTTTATATTCTCTACTTGTTTATACACACTATTTACATGTTTTGAATGATTTATTTACTATTACTATTATTATTTTAATTTGCTATAGGGCATGTGTGCTTACCAGAGAGAGGAAGAAAGAGATAGGGAAAGTGAAAAAGCAAGCTGCCAGGTCTGGGACTTGAACATGGTTGGCCATATGAGAATCTAGTACCTTAAACATCATACCACCTACTGCTCCCCTTATATGTATGCTTTTAAAGACCATCCTGTACCCTACAAAGATATGTAATGATTATATTTAAATAATAAATTATAATAAATATTTAAAGAGAAAAAATATACTCTTAAATAAAGTTGATTTATAATCATTGAAGTATAATGCTTGTGTTAGTCATAAATATTTATGTAAGTCCTCAAAAACAGCTTGGATAGTAGGTTGAATAGTCCTCTTGATATTATAGATAAGCATTATTTAATAATACTTTCTGTGGTATTGGAAATGTTCTAAATCTGTGTTGTTCAATATAGACTTGTGTCTAACGTGATTAAATAACCAGATTTTACATTTTATTAATTCTAGATATAAATAGGTAGGTATGTCTACTGACTACCTTATTCGACCAATTCTTAGACTATGTAAACTCTCTATCTTTGTCCTTTTCTTTTCGTTTTCTGATTTCTGACCCATTTTCCTAGTCGGTGATGGCATTTCTATTGCCTCAAGGGCAGTTAGGAAAATTAGGGTACTGAAACAAACTCTATATTAAATGTTTTACACATATCAACTCCTTTAATCCCTTCAATAAACATATAAGGTAGATGCTATTCAGTAATACAACTCTTATTTACAAGTAAGGAAATTGAAGCAGAGAATTAGGTAACTTGGTCAAATAAGCTGATAAGCAGTAGGCCTATGACTTTGTTAAATAAAAGTGATAGGAAGCTGTTGTCTCTGACTAAGCTTCTCCACCAGGCCTCAACAGACAGAACAAAATCAAACTGGAGTGACTCAGGGCTCCATGTCACCAAGACAAAGCTGAGTTACCTGATTTTTAGAGAAATCATGAAAGAGCCATAACAGCCCAGTTTCCCAAACAGGCCAATTTTAACTGGCATGATAACGAGGTTCCTGTTTCAGCCCTTCCACAAAAGTACCCTCATCTTTTTTTTTTTTTTTTAAAGTACCTTGGTCTTGATTAATCAGTATTTTCCTACTCTCTGTCTCCTTGTCCCTGCCTTACGAAAAAAAGTAGTGTTGAAACATGCAATCCACTTTTGTATTTTGCTAATGTTTTCTTCATCTCTTCTGTAAAACCAACCTCTTCTGCTTAATTCCTTGAAAAACTTTTTCGTTCCTACCCTAATCTATTCTTCCCAACTACAAGCTTTCAGACACAAATAAAGGCTTTTGTTCTTTACAGATTCAGTGTTTGAAATTCATTGACATGTCTTGGGTCAGAAGTGGGATCCTGAGTGATTTCACCCCCATCTCTGATGCTGCTGTGGACATGAGTATCAGCACCGACTGGGTCCCCCTGTACTCTACCATCTCCTTGGTGGCCTCAGGCTGTGGTGAGTAAGTACTCTTGGAATCTGAAATTTCCATCTTTTGGTCAAGGTTTCAAACTTTCGTTTGGTTGTCCTTTGCACTGGTTTTTGCCTAGGAGGGGAAACCTTGTTTAGGTCTAGGAGGAGAATCAATCCTTCATATAGGTGGGTACTTGATTTTCAGGAGAGGAAACGTGTATCTTGAATCTTCTTACACTGAGTTGCTGATCTTTTTTTGGCTTTTGAATCCATGTTGACTTGTGCTGTGAGAAAAGAGTGCTAGAGTTAGTGTGTGTTGTGAGAGAACTTTGAACATTGGGTTTCTAGTTGCTGACTGGAGGAACCATAAACTTGATTTTGGAATTCACTGGTGACTCCCATTCATTTTTTCTTGTGCATTTAGATAAAGGAGGTCTTAAGTGGCTGATCAGTTCAGGTAGAAACTGAAATACCAATGTGAAAAGTGGGTTTTAAAAGACTTTTGGGTATGCCTCCCATTATTAAGCCTAGTAAGCTGCAAGTACTTGCAAAAATGACAAACTATTGCTTAAAGTCATTTAAAATAATGCTGTTTATTTTATGGAATATTTCACAGTGCATTTTAAGATCAATTCTTTCCATTCTGTGCATAGCTGTTGCTTTCCTGTTCATTTTGTTCTTTGTCCTGAGAACTCGACTTGACTTTCCATCTGTCGGGCACGCAGGCAATAGGCTTGTATGTGCAAGCAACCAACCAAAAGTTGGGAGTCCCAAGAATGTAGCCAGACAGAAATGAAGGTACACTTCATTTGTGGCTGGACTCTCTGTTGCTGGTTCTCAAGCTTTTGTTAAATCTCTTTGTTTTGACTGTCTTGAGGTGGTTCTAGATCATAAAAGGGCTGTAGTGCATTCGAAATGATGGCATCCATTGCTGGGCCTGTAGTGCAGTAGGTAAATACTATGCAGAGGGAACTGGATCCCACACGGCTGTCTGCAGTTCAAATCCTGGCCCTGGTAGCTTATGTGAGGGCATGCCCAGGATCCTGCTAGGATAGAAGAATGGAGGAAAAAAAATACTGTGGTGTGACAAATTCCCCTTTGAGTGCTTTCTCTCTCTTTTGTGTGTCTTTCCTTTATTTTTCTCTTTTTAAAGTTTTTAGCCATAGCATACATGCAGTTGCCAGAGAGGGGAGAGGCAGAGACAGAGAGAGGAAAAGTGAGAAATCATGGTCCAGGCAGGATGGCCATGCTGCAATCCATTCTCTGCCGATCTCCTCTAAGGATCTGGGGCATACACGCACATGTACCCAGCATGATCTTGAAGCCACCAGGTCTGGAACGCGGACTGCAGTCTGCCATGTGGAAATCAGCCCCCTTAACCACCACACTGCCTGCCCATACCACCTGCTGGCTCTTACATAATGTACTCTCTCTCTCTTTTGTGTGTGTGTGTGTGTGTGTGTGTGTGTGTGTGTGTATGTGTGCGTGCATGTACCCAAGGACGCCTGTTGATGTACAGAAGTTTCTAAAAAGATTTCAAAAAAAATTCTTATTGCCTCCTTTAAAAATCTCTCTATAAAAGTCCACATGAAAAAACTTAAGAAATCTAAATCTACCAACATTTTCATTTAGTAACTATCCCCCATCTGAAGATGAAAAGAAAGCTACATAAAGCATTTATAAAAGTTAGACCATCATAGCAAGCAAGCAGAGAAAATGCTTCCTTTGCTGTGCTATTCATTTTTAAAGGGCTCCACCCTAAAGCTGGTAATCTAATCAAGAATTAAACTAAGTTAAAAGACTGCCTATCAACTATTGGTCTTCTAAATACAACTTTCCATATTTTACTTGACTATTTTGATTTTTTTTGGGAAAATAAATCTACATCTATAAAGAAAATTTTTATTTGTAAGGGGTTCTTTATATCTACAGGGAAGAGAGGTAAGTCTTATTTTTGTGTAAAGTGCTTTTTCTGCCCATTTTGTCTTACCTGGCCAATCCTATGCCTTCTTCATTACAGCAAATAATGGTGTTTAGACATAGGTTCTGTGTCTTTGAAATGTAAAACTTCTACCTTGTTTCACCTGAGTCATTGTCTTACTTACAAATTTAGGATTGTCTGGCTAACAGTGGAACAGACAGTCAAAGGCTCAAGAGTTTGAAAGAAGAAAATCTATTTGAAAATTGGTAAATAAATAGGTCTTAATGAAAGCTATATGATTTACTTCTGAATGTTGTCTATATGTTATGTATATGTGATGTCATTAATGCTTCTAAAATAGAGTTCTACCCAGTTGGTTTAGGAAAAAGTTGGTTTATGTGGTTAGCAGGTGGCACGGTGGTTAAGGCTCTGGACTCCCATATGGCTGATTCCACAGTTCAAGTTCCAGGCCCAGTGGCTTGAAAATCACATCAGGTACACGTGCATGTGTGCCCCAAATCCTGAAGCGAATGGAGAAGGAAAACAGTGTGACCATCTTGCCGGGGGTGGGGGAGGGTGATTTCTAATCCCCTTTACCTCCCAGAGAGTCCATGTGCCCTATGACAAAAACCTAAATAAAAAAAAAAAAGTTGATTTAAACACCTACAAATTCTCTCAAAAAAATTAACTCAAAGGCCTTTTAGTTTATATGATTTGAAATCATTGGTAAATAAGGCTAGTTTTAAAATTCTTGGTCAAATCAAATAAAACTATCTTCAGAATCGTCAGCACTGAATATAGTTCAGCTATTTCAGCGGAGGTCTACTAGTCAGACAGGTGTTTTAAGGTCGTAAAACTTATTTCCGTGATATATTTGGTACTTGTTGACTTGTCTGTGAGCTACTGTTGTGGGCACCAGCTGTTGGGTTTCCTGAAAGACACACCCTACTGTGAGCTTTGAAATAGGCTCTCTTCTCTTCTCTTCTCTTCTCTTCTCTTCTCTTCTCTTCTCTTCTCTTCTCTTCTCTTCTCTTCTCTTCTCTTCTTCTCCTTCCTTCCTTCTTCTTCTTCTTACTTTCTTTTTCTTTCTTTCTTTTT